CGTGATCTACATGAAATGATGATGCAAAGTTTAATAATATGACAACAGCAACTCTTAACCCAAAAGTACATCTGTTAAACTACTAAGTGAGGTCTACCCACTAAAGGCTAAGCTACGTACCGTCACCACTAACAAGTATGAAACATGACATACATTCTTATAGCAACTACATGTATTGTTACTCCTAATACCGATTTAATCGAGATACGATAAAACAAGAGTAATAGCTATTTTATTTAACATCCCATTCTAAGGCTACAAAATTTACCGCAAGTACCTGACAACCTAGTGGACCTACTGTAAAATTTTTGTGGCTATATCTATCACCAATTATCCACAATTATTTCTACAACTATTAACCTTCCTAATATTAGCTCTCTAGTTTTAAATTTATGACCCAATACTCGCCACAGCTAACTGCAATCCAACTGTACTATCTAGTAGATGATATTTTTGCGAACCTAACAAAATTAGTCTCACTATTTTTGGACAACTACTCAATTTACTACGATTTATCGAAGTTCAATTCATAACTAAAATAAATAAACATTTCTAATTTACTGGAATTGAAAGAAACCGAATCCTACCCCTCGGCAAAACTCACGCGGCTCGGCCCGCAACGGCGCGATGGGCGCCAATGCAGCGCAGCCCACGTGCGCACACAGCCTAGCCAGCCAACGGCCCGCGATGGGGGAAAACCCGCGCGCAACGACAAATACACGAAAATGCCCCCGATTTACTTGGCATTTACAGCGAGCTCTACGGCACTATTCCACTAGTCTATGCTTTTACAGATACGCCCTTCCCCTCCTTCTTTACCATGGCGACGTCCCCCGGCACCCGTGCGCGCACTGGCGCGACGGCGCGGGCACCGAGCGGCCACGCCGGCGTCATCCGAGCCTCTAAGGCCTAGCTAAGGGGCCGATGATTACCTCCACGGCAACGCACAACGGCTGGAAATGATACGGTGAGTAGGGCGTCATCCTGGGTTCCCTCCCCGGTGGTGAGCCCTAACCTGCAATGGCGGATACGTTCCCGTGAGCCACAGCAAAAACGAAGCAAACCCAATAGCCAGCGAGCTCAAGGCACTACCCACGGAGACCTTGGAGGTGATGGTCTGGCCGGAGAAGGCCTAAGGTGGGTTGGCCGCGTGCGCACCGATGATGCGATGGCGCTCGGTGATGGCACGGCCGCATCGATGATAGCTGGCCTACGATAAAGCTACGGCTGAGGTGCGCGAGGTGCTTAGGAGTGTACGGCTAAGCTGAGGGTGCACTGAATTACTACTAGGTGCCTTGGTTGTGTGGTTAGCCGACGACGCAGACCACCCTGGTCATATGGACCCGACGGCGCGGCATTTCAAAATTGGAGCATAGGCCGGAGCTACAGGCGACGATGTGGGGTCGGTAGGACTGTAGGCTACCAAGCGAAGTCGAAGACGTAGTCAATTTGTACCAAGGCACGGCTACCACGGTGAATTTGAAAGAACCGCCCCGGCGGCCATGGAGACAGCGGAGGTAGGGGGTCCTGGCGTGGCTTGGCTCGGTCCGGCTGCGGATGTCAATGCAACAAACAAACGCGCACCATGATGGGGGACAGCGGGACGTGCCTCAGGCGACTGGCCGCACGGCCGTGGCTGCAAGCCGATGAGGCTCGGCACGGCGACGCAGCGGGCAGCGCCAGACAAAGGGGACACAGTGCAATGCGACGCGGAGGGGATGACGGAGCAGGCTGTCGTCCCTCGCGCGAGCAGCCAAGGGGAGTCAACGGAGCAGTGTCGTGCGTGGCCACTGGCAACGTGTAACGCAGGACCCGGTGCGCCTCCGGCCAAAGCGGGGCAGGACATGGCTCGGCAGAGCTTGGTCTGCGGCCCGAATGCAGCGCGTTAGCCGGGGTGTTGTGACCCGCGCGCCCACGAGTGGCAGCAGGCGGACCAGGCAGCCGCGCCAATACCCTGCGCGCGTGTGCCTTCATGGTGGCAATACGGATGCGGCCAGCACATCGACGCGCGCACTTGGGCGAGCCAGCAGCGGCGGCAGGTGAGCAGCGACGGTGACTGCGGCCAGCGCGGTGGCAGGCGGTCATGGCCCACAGCGCAATGGCCAGGCGAGTGCGTACACGCGCAGGCGCGGCAGCGAGACGTGGCCGGCGCGACAGTGGGGCGCGACTGGCGCGGCAGCGCGCGCTGGCAAGCCAGCAGCGTGCCAGGCCAAGTGGTGACCACGCCCAGAGCTAACCCATGTGCCATGCATGCTTTTTAAAGCAGCTAGAAAACTTGTACACGCTGCTCCAAACGGTAAACTAATTGTTCGATGCGCAAGAGGGTATATCAAGCTATCCACCGAAGTCCTGACATCGCGCAACCTCCTAAGCCGATCGCTCTACATAAATGGCCAGAAACGGCAGCATCGACACCTTTTAAAACTTACGCGGAACGACGTCGATTCGAACGATTTCGCGTCGAATCCCAAATCCGACCTACGGGATGTACTAGCTAGCTATCCTTGTCCTCGACCGCACATGTTTTATCGCCGTTCGCAAAACGTTCTATAGCATTTTTGTTTTGACAAGAATTCGATTAAAATACTAAACAACGTTACGTGACACGAAACGTAACAGTATTTTCTTGTTTCATATAAATGTTTCATGTGCCGAACATTGATTTATAATTCATGTTAAACACATATGCACATAAATATGATGCTCATGCGATGTTTTAACAAAGCAGTACAATGTAACACGGAGGGTGTTACATTAATCCTCAACTGATGCCACAAGCTAATTAATTTTCCGATTGTAAGTAGAGGTTCTACATTATTAACACTACTCCAAGTAACAATGGAAGTAGAGAATAGATGCTTTGTGAACTAAAACTACTCCATCGACAAGTTTTTGTACTTGATCGATATTATAAAAAAACAAGTTTATGTAGGAGCAGCAGCAATATTGTAACTGACCAGCATCAATCAGTAAAGGAAAGAAAAAACTGGCCACAATCTTCATCTAAGTGACTACACACCGAGCATATTGTATCAAGATTCACCTCTTTTCTTGGCAAATTTCATCTGACCAGGAGGTCGCCGAGGGTGGAGGCGGGTAGGAGGCCAGCGACGGCAGGGGGCGACGGTGGGGCGGCCAGAAAGCGGGCGAGAGCGACGGGAACCAGGCCGGCGAGGGCAGGGGCGACGGGGACCTGGCGCCGGAATCGCCTGGTGGCGCTCGCTCGCAGAACGGCCTGGTCGCTGAAACAAACCGCCTAGTTGCGCTCGCTCGCGGAACAGCGCCTGGCGCATGGGGCTGGGAGGGGCCAGGGTTTTTTTTGGAAAACTGGCTGGCAGGTGGGAGGGTTTAAGCGTAAAATAGTCCAACCTCTCACCCCATCCATTGGATTGACATTCTGTGGATCTGATTCGTAGTTTCCAAGTTTGCACGGATTTCCTGGTTTGTAGCTGATATGTTGCCTTTAAGTAATCACGATATGTGTCACTAAATTGGATCGGACGGATTGCTTTAGAGACCTCGCCAAAAAAAAGAAAAAAGTCTGCATTACCTCCCTTAACTTTTGCGAAAGTCTGTTTTTTCTTCTTGAACTCTAAAACCGGGTAAACCACCGCCCTGAACTTTTAAAACCTTTCGTTTTACCTCCCTAACTGGTTATAAGCGGTTTTCATAGGCGGTTTTGTTTTTTTCTTTTTTATTTATTTCAGCTGAACCTTTGAAAAATCATAGTAAATCACAGAAAAATCATAAAATAAAAAATTCAATTTTGTTGGACTCCACATGAGTGAATATATAATATGATACGCTTTAGTATCATTTTTTTTGCTGTAACTTTAGATCTATTTTTTTCTATAATTAATTCATAACTGCAGTTTGTATGGTCTTATTGTGGTGAAATTTTTATGGTGGACTAATTATTATATGCTTGAATTGTAGTAAAAAATGCATACTCATTGGATCATGTATAACTTAGTTAAAGATTTTTAGATGTATGCTTGTTAAAAAGTATTTATAAGTCTGTAACTAAGTTATACATGATCCAATGAGTATGATATTTTTACTATAGTTTGATCATACAATAATTAGCTCACCATAAAAAAAATCACCACAATTGGACTATAGAAATTGCAGTTATGAATTAATTACAAAAAAGTATAGATCTAAAGCTACAGCAAAAAAATCGTACTAAAGCATACCATATTATTATGTTCACTGTGTAGATATACTCATATGGAGTCCAAAAAATAGATTTTCCACTTTATGATTTTTCTATGATTTATTATGATTTTCAAAGTTTTAGCCGAAATAAATAAAAAAGAAAAAGACAAATCTGCCTTTGAAAACCGCTTGTAACCGGTCAGGGAGGTAAAACGAACAGTTTTAAAAGTTCAGGAATGCGATTTATCCAGTTTTAGAGTTCCGCGAGGAAAAGCAGACTTTTGCAAAAGTTTAGGAGACAACGTGGACTTTTTCTATATAAAAAAAAGAAAACGAAAAACAATTGGAATAAAGACTCGGTCGCGGCAATTGGGCCGGCCCAGAACTTCTCGGCGCTCTGCTCCTCTTCCCCCAATTATCCCCCCGTCTCGCCGTCGAGGGTTTAGGCACCCGCTCGCGCCGGCGCCGCCCTTCTCACGGCTTCGTCTCTTCCGGCTGGAGTGTCTCCTACCCCCACGGCAGGCTCCGGCTGCGGCGCTCGGTAAGCCCCATATCCCAACCGCCCCATCTTTCTCCCGCTTCCCGTACGGGTGATTAGTCTGCTTTCGGTGCTCGTGAACCCTTCTTGATTTCAATCTCCCGATGGATCACTGTTCTGATTCAGCAATGCTTCGCCACCTCTTCGAATCTCGCGTCGTCTTCGATCTAGCAGATCGACTCACCTAGTAATCGAACAGGATTTTGCGGTGTTCTGACCTAGATTGTATTTATTTTATTTATTTTTTTCGCGTTCCTTGTTTGTTCCGTCTTCTAACGGAGGAACTGCTCGAGCAGGAGACGCCATGGAGCATGAGGGGGGAGACACCATGGAGCTTGACGGGGGCGCAACAGGGCGTGCCCGCGCAAGTGGCGGTGGCGGCGGAGGCGGAAGCTCGGCTGGCGACCTGGACCGGCTGAGCGCCCTGCCGGACAGCCTCCTGCACGCCATCATGTCGTTCCTGAAGGCCCGGCAGGCGGTGCAGACGTGCGTGCTGGCCACGCGCTGGAGGCACCTCTGGCGCTCCTTGCCGTGCCTCGACATCGACCAGGATGAGTTCAGGGCTGCGCCGAAGCCTTCCAACAACAACCACCCTGCCCCCGACGTTGAAGACTCTGATATCGAATTCGACGAAGCTGACGACTCTGACGGCAACGAGGACGACGGCATCAAGGACAATGAGTGGGACAACTTTGAGGATTTTGCTGATTGCCTGATGCATCACTGCAACATCGCTCAGTTGGATTCCTTGAGACTGCATGTGAGTAAGAGCAGGGCACCTAGTTTCGCCAATAAACAAGCAGGCGGATGGCTCAGGCGCGCAATGAAATACTGCACCCCGGGCCCTCCCCGTCAATGCGAGGGACTGGGGTCCACCAATTCTTGGCGCCTCAGGAGGCTCTATCTCTGCAATGTGGCTCTGGATTGCCGTTTCACGATGCATGTCAGCTCAGTGTGCCTATCGTTGGAGGACTTGGAGCTGGAGGATTGCATGTGTGCGATTCATGCAATCACCTCCAACTCACTGAAGAGCTTGGTTCTGAAGAACTGCCGATGGAATTTTCTTTCTAAGATTGCATCGCCCACGCTGAAGAGCTTAGCTATTGCTGGTGGCACGAATTCTTCTGACTGTGTGCTGGTTATCAGGGCCCCCGCGATTGCTCATCTGTGCCTCAATGTGCCTCTTCGCTTTGCCAAACGTGTTGCAGTAAACTAGAAGGTTTCAGGTTTCGGGATGGTGGTAAATCTGCATATTTGTTATCTCTGCTTTTGTTATAGTAATCTATGTAAGACTTTAAAGGAGATGCATCCTTCCAAGAGCTAAATGCTGACTTCGGTTGCTCAACGTTTTCTGAATTCTGAGTGCATTACTTGAATACACTTTGGATCATATGTCAGCATTCGTTCCTTAACTTTTTCAGGTGCGGCTCTCATGAGCTCAGACCATTCAATGTTCTTTGGCAGGAGGAACAAGTTTACAGATTATTTTCTTGATTGATGATTCTTGTTTAGTACAACACAGTGTGTTTAGGTACCCAAGGTACATTGGGGGGTTTGGGCATTTTAAACCTTAGCTCTGATGATCTGCTCTTTGTTTGCCCAATTGTGGTTTTAAATAGTTGAATAGTGGTGGCTTATGGTAGAAGTTTCTTTAGACAGTCTCCTCGGGGAACTGATTCTTTTACTCATATTTGCTTCTGTTTTTGCTGTACTCTACATCCTTTCAAAAGCTAATCAAATACCTTCCTCGTTTGGTCAACATTTTTTAAGTGAAGTAGTGCCTAAACATATTTTAGATCATATATCGGCATGTTTATTCACTATTGCTGTTGGGTCTGAAGAAGTACTTTTAAGGTCGAAGTTACACTTTTAAGAGCTTGGTTCTGAGTTGCAGATGGCACCATCTTTCTGAGATTGCATCGCCCACACTCAACAGCTTAGCTATTGTTGGTGGCTCGAATAATCCTGTTTGTGTGCTGTCTATCAGCGCCCCGCGATTGCTCATCTGTGCCTCGATGTTCCTCTTTGCTTTGCCAAACGTGTTGCAGTAAACTAGAGGTTTCAGGCTTCGGGATGGTGGTGAATCTGCATATTTATTATCTCAGCTTTTGTTATAGTAACCTATGTAAGACTTTAAAGGAGATGCATGGTTCCAAGAGCTAAATGCTGACTTCAATTGCTCAACGTTTTCTGAATTCTGAGTGCATTACTTGAACACACTTTGGATCATATGTCAACATTTGTTCCTTGCCTATTCTGGTTGCGGCTCTCATGAGCTCAGACCATTCCATGTTCAGGTTCCTTTGGCAGGACAAGCATGGCTCCACAACAGTGGACTTGTATTGTACTCTGATCGAGGCTGATTATATATACGGTAACCAGACGTCCGGGGCGGTCGGACGCAACTCCTCCACTCATTCGCTCGCTATTAAAAAAAATCACCCACTGTGCTTATCCTCCACTCATCCGCTGGCTCGCTCGCCTCTCGCCCCCTCCATCGCGTGCGCCTCCCGCTCCCTCCATAGCCGGCAGTGGCGCCCTCACCCACCCTGGCGCGTGCCCTCCCCACCCCGGCGCGCGCCCTTCTCTACCCCGACGCGTGGCCATGGCTACCTCCCTAGCCGGCGGTGGCGCCCTCACCCACCCCCGCAGCTCCTTCCCCCACCCTGGCATCCTCCCTCACTCCGGCATCCTCCCCCATCAGGAGCCCCCGACGCTCGCAGATTTGGCGGCCCTCTCCCCCACACCGGCGAGATCCATGGAGCACGAGGGAGATCATTTGGCGGTGGCGCGGCGGTGTTGCAGGGGAGTCAGCGGCGCTCCTCCACCCGGGCGAGACGTCCTCCCCACCCCCAGCGGCGCCCTCTCTCACCCCGGTGATCGTGCTTCCCCCACCCGATGGCCATGGCGCTCCCCGCGCCAAGCTCTCTCTCTCTGTCCCCCCCCTATGTTGCATATGTATGTTTCAAGTGTTTCAGGCGTTTCAGATGTATGTAGCATTTGTTTCATATGGATGTTGCAAAAGTAGATCAAGGGATGTTGCACATGTTGCCTATGTTGCAATTGTTTCAGAGGCATGTTGCAATCGTATGTTTCGAGTGTTTCAGAGGTATGTTTTCCGAACGCATGTTGCAAATGTGTTCATCTGGATGATGCATGTGTTTCACACATACGTTCATGTATTTTATTTGGATGTTTGCGTATGGTTGCTATGGTTTTCAAGTGTTTATCAGGTGTTTTTTCAAATGTTTCAATTGTTTCAACTGCCTTCAGACGTATGTTGCAACTGTTGCATTTGGATATTTCAAAAATAGATCGGCTGTTGCATCTCTCCTCCCCACCTTCTGCTGTATCGTCTCTCCCGGTGCCGGCAGGGCATCCATACAACGCCGCTGTCAGGTCCTTCCGAATCGGAGGCGTCACGCGCCCTTCCCCTCTTGTCGCTTGGGCGACGCGGGCCCCGCGTGGAGCGTGAAACTGGGTGTAACGCGGGCGTCCAGGCGCTAGCACTTCCGTTATATATACATTCTAGTGAAAAACCTATATACAAAAACATGTTTAGCTAGGAGTATACAGTATAACATGTCTAGTGAAAATCCCATGCCATTTTTCCGCAAAAAAAGAAAAAGAAAATCCCATTCCATCCTGGTGACACGAAAACAGAGTGCTATCCTGCCTCTGCACGATCAGCACTGCACAGGCAACATCCAACGCCGCGACAGCTTGCCCGGCCCGGCCCTCCAAACGCTGTGTATGACGCTGTGTTGTGCTGTGCCCACCAGCGCCGCCGGCGACGTGGTCTGCAGCAAGTGTCACAACCTCCCTCCCTCCCTCTCGCCTTCCTTGAGAACTAAGCCTCTTTTTTGCTAATGTAATCCGCCGACCGCCGGCGGCCGGACGATATAAATCAACTCGCGGGCACGCTCGGAATCTCCAACGAGAAGTCGAGAACAAAAGCAGCGACCTTTATTCGTTCTGGCTCTGCGGTCTCTGGCCTCCTCGTAGTCGTCAATCAATGGCGAAGCAAACGGAGGTGAGGGCGAGGCCGGCCGCCGCGACCGCGACCTCCGCCGCGCGCGCGCGGCCGCCGCGGGCGTCGGTGCCGGCGTTCGGCGGGTGGGAGGTAGCTGGCGGCGCGGGCTCAGCGGCGCCGGACTACTCGCTGGACTTCACCAACATCCGCGCCGCCCGGATGCAGCAGCGCAGGAAGGCGCTCTCCTGGTCCAGCTTCGTCGGCAACGCCGCCGTGGCCGTCGAGACACCCGGCTGTGGCGGCGGCGGCGTGGAGGACGAGAAGCCCCGCCAGTGGTCCTCGGCGGCGACCAGTGACGCGGACGACGACGACGACGACGACGACCGCGAACGACGTCGCCGCCACCAGCTCCGCCGCCTGCGTAGCGCCGACGACGACCGCCAGCCGATCCAGCTCGGCCGCGCCGCTCCCAAGGTGAGCTGACGCCGCCGCCGCCGCACTTAATTCATTTCCACGGCAAGCTAGCATAGTGGTAGCATCAACTTGTTGTGTTGTGATCGATCAGAGTATCCTGCACAGACAAAACGCACTGTTTGGAATTTGGATCATTGGATGGACCTAAAATTGCTTTGCTAGGAAAATTCACGCGGATTTGCAGTGGCAGATGAGTACAAAGTTGGAGAATTCGATGTTGCCAATCAAATTTGACACTCCCGATGACGCCTCTTGTTCTACTCGAACAGACAAACAACTACTACAAAAATATCTTCTTCTTCTTCTTCTTTTACATTCATGCCAACTGCAGATGATCACAAACATCATCAACATATATATCCCAGTTAATTCCCAATCCCATGCATGGTTACAAATATTGTAACTGTCATAAGCTTATCTTCCTTGTTCTTGAATCAATTTTCAACTCCATACGATTTTATTTAATTCGCTGATTTTCGTTTCATTTTGCTTGTTGATTGGATGGGCAGGGAAGGAGCAAGTTCAAGGGCTACCTGTTTGGTTGTGTGAGTGGACAATGGTGATGACACACGTGGGCCCCCTGCACCTGCACTGCCAAGAAGACGATGTCAAATTCAAGAAACGAAGACGGCCTAGCTCTCACATATATTTACAATTTCTGGAATTAAAGATCATTGTGCGTAGTACAGACATTGTTGCCTTGCTGTGGTTTTTGGCGTACCAATACCATGCGTGTGGGTGTACAATTAGCACATGCATGTCATCTGTGAGAGATTCTGACAGACATTTCTTGTACCCGTGTTTCTTTTTCTTTTTTGTCGTGTAAATATATATGTGCTGTAAGTTCATTAGTGATGCTGATAAACCGTATGTCGTCTTCGTGAATTTGCCGTTGTAATATCAAGTGCGATGGGTGTAAAATGTCGTCATGCGCAACCTAACTTCATTGTACAATCGTAGGAAAAATGTGGGAACCCGACGAGGGAAACAATAAAAAGAAAGAAAAACGTAAGATTTTACTTAAAGACGGGATCCCAAGGGCTGAAGGGCAAAAGTTTGGTGCGAGATGATTTTAAGGATGCACAAACCAGATATTGATAAAAGAGGAGCATCACTACCGGAAACCGGCGATTTGCCGAGTGCCGAGGCTTTGCCGAGTGTATTTTATCGGGCACTCGGCAAAGACCGTGTTTGCCGAGTGTCAAATAAAATACACTCGGCAAACAAAAACACACGGAAAAATACGTCTTTGCCGAGTGTTTTTTTCTGGCACTCGGCAAAGATGTATTTTGCCGAGTGCCTTTGTTTTGGCACTCGGCAAAGAAGCTTTTTGCCGTGTGCATTTTTTTTGCCCTCGGCAAATCATTTTTTCGAAGCAATTTTTGAGGCCCTAAATGAATTCAAATGAAAAACTTTTCAACTACAAAGTTGTATAACTTCTCAAGATCTACAAAGTTTATTTTGGTCATTTCTTCATTTGACAAAGCGACAATAACGTTGTTCATAAAATCTACATCTTTCATATCTCTCATATTAGTTTCATGAAAGTAGAAGATACATATATAAGATTTGTGAACAATGTTACTACCACTATATCGGATGAACAAATGACCAAAATAAACTTTGTAGATCTTGATAAGTTATGAAATTTTGTAGTTGGCAACATTTTGATTTGAAATCATCTTGTCATGCAAAAACGACGTTTGAATTTAAAATTTTTAAAATTTGAATTTTTCAAACGACCTCGGATGAAAAAACTTCCTAAATGAAAATTGTAGATATCCAAAAGTTATGAAACTATGTAGTTGACAACTTTTTGATTTGAAATCATCTTATCATGCAAAACTATGTTTGAATCTCTCAAATTTAAAATTCAAATTTTTCAAACGACCTCGGATGGAAAAACTTACTAAATGAAAATTGTAGATCTCAAAAAGTTATGAAATTTTGTAGTTGACCACTTTTTGATTTGAATTCATTTAGGGCCTCAAACAAGTAATTTACTCTCAGTTTGCCGAGTGCCTTTTTTCTAGCACTCGGCAAAGCCGTATTTTGCCGAGTGCCTATGTTTTGGCACTCGGCAAAGAGGTATTTTGCCGTGTGCATTTTTTTGGTCCTCGGCAAATCAGTTTTTCGAATCAATTTTTGAGGCCCTAAATGAATTCAAATGAAAAACTTTTCAACTACAAAGTTGTATAACTTCTCAAGATCTACAAAGTTTATTTTGGTCATTTCTTCATTTGACAAAGCGACAATAACGTTGTTCATAAAATATACATCTCATTAATTTCATGAAAATAGAAGAGAGATATATATGATTTGTGAACAATGTTACTACCACTATGTCGGATGAACAAATGACCAAAATAAACTTTGTAGATCTTGATAAGTTATGAAATTTTGTAGTTGGCAACATTTTGATTTGAAATCATTTTTCATGCAAAAACGACGTTTGAATTTGAAAATTTTAAAATTTGAATTTTTCAAACGACCTCGGATGAAAAAACTTCCTAAATGAAAATTGTAGATCTCCAAAAGTTATGAAACTATGTAGTTGACAACTTTTTGATTTGAAATCATCTTATCATGCAAAACTACGTTTGAATTTCTCAAATTTAAAATTCAAATTTTTCAAACGACCTCGGATGGAAAAACTTACTAAATGAAAATTGTAGATCTCAAAAAGTTATGAAACTTTGTAGTTGACCACTTTTTGATTTGAATTCATTTAGGGCCTCAAATAAGCAATTTACACTCGGTTTAGTATAATATATTAGGAACTAAAACGGAATCTAGACACAAGTGACGATGGTGTGGTGTAGTGGTAGAGGAGGTTTCAGCAATGGGAGGTCTTGGGTTCGAATCTCGCCGTCACAGTAGCTGTGAAATTTATCTTGAAAAAAGCCGGAGATGGATGGGCGCCGACCGGTGGGGGCCTCCACCAATTAAAAAAATCCATTTTTTGGGTAAAATTCCCATTTTTTCGGGTTTTTTTCGTTCCAACTTTGCCTAGTGTCGGCACTTTTCGGCAAAGGCTTTTGCCGAAGTGCCCGACAAAAGACACTCGGCAAAAGACGTCTTTGCTTGACTCTTTTTTTGTTTAGTGCTCTTTGTCGAGTCAAAGACTCTCGGCAAAGCCTTTGTCAAGTGTAAATTGGGCTTTACCGAGTGCCCCTGGCACTCGGCAAATTCACTGAGTCCGGTAGTGGCGGTAACAGAAAGAGAAGCTGTCAGTTGCAAAGCAGCAGTGGCACATAAGGAAAAAAACATTTCAGTGACATATTATCGAAGGGCATAACTACAAAAGAGGAAAAAAATTAGGAGAAAAGTGAAAGTAGACTATCAGGCTCAAGAAGGACCCGTATAAAACTAACTCAGAGAAGCATAGTGTGGTTGTGAGAAAGCCGACTAATTTAGAGAATAAGAGGTGTAAAAATGAAAGCGGTCAGAGGCATAGGTGTGAGAAAGTCAGGGACCGACGCGCAAAATCTCAAACTAACTCAGAGAAGCAGGGGTGTAAAAGGAAATCCACCAGGAGCATTGATGTGACAAAGTCAGGGATGGACGCACAAAATCTCAAACTAACTTAGAGAAAGCGGAGGTGTAAAAGGAAAGCCGTCAGGGGACATGGATGTGAGAAAGCCAAGGACCAGTGCGCAAAATCTCAAACTAACTTAGAGAAGTAGGGTGTAAAAGGAAAGCTGCACTAGGAGCATTAATGTAAGAAAGCCAGGGATGGACGTGCAAAATCTCAAACTAACTTAGAGAAGCAGGGGTGTAAAAGGAAAGCCGCACTAGGAGCATGGATGTGAGAAAGCCAGGGGTCGACGCGCAAAATCTCAAAGTAACTCATGAGAAACAGAGGTGTAAAAGAAAAGCTGCTACGTAAAATCTCAAACTAACTAAGAGAAGCAGGGTAAGCCGGGGTTGACACGCAAAATCTCAAAAAAAAAAAAATTAGTCCATTCCTCAATTTATGCTTGTCATCCTTGCGCCATGATAATCTTCTCTGTATCGTTCTAATTTTACCAGATATCCAAAAAGATGTTATAGGCGTTGTTGCTTGGACTTCCCTCGTTTAGCTAGGCCTATAATAATCATAAAAAAAACGTTTGGATATCCAGCCTATAATAATCATAAAAAAAACGTTTGGCTATCCAGAGATCACAGCTCTCGTGGGCCGGCCTTCCAATGTCGGCCCAATGTGACGACACGACGCGCGCGGGCCTGCTTCTCTAGCTCTCACGTGCGCGCCACACGCGTGCTCAGCTAGCGGCGGCCCACTGCTGATCAAGAATCTGATTGTGCTCCACTTACAAAGAAATCCATCATCATAAATAAAAGAAAATAAATGTTGCTAAAAGAATAAAAGAAAATAAATACGCACAATACACTGGTAATCCACACAGGAGTATAGAACAACCGGTACTCGGTTGCACGCACTTTATTAGTACAAGTTTTACACGTAACCAAACTGATACATAGATCAGGTTTCAAAAAAAAAAACTGATACAGAGATCACAGAATTAGTTAACATAATTAAGCTACGTATATAAGCCTGATCATCTATCTATAAATGATTATAGTCACGTTCGTGCACAAACGATCGAACGGCTAGGTGCTTCACATCAGCCGGTTGCGGATGAGCTCATCAGTCGCGCCGGCGCCGGCGTCGGTGCCGTCGACGACGACGGCCGCCGACGGGTCGTCCTCCAGCAGCCGCGCGAGCCGCTCGGCGAGGCCGTCGACCTCGGCGTGGAGCCTCCGGATGTAGACGCAGGCCTCCCGCAGCACCCGAGCCCTCGTCGACGGGGACGCTTTGGCTTTGCCATTGGCGGCTGCCGCCTGATCGGGAGGGAGGAGGGCACACAGCCTCGAGACGAGCTCGTGCTCGTCGGCCGCCACCACTTGCTGCTCAGCCGGTGTGGCGTCGGCGCCTGGCGCCGGTGACAGCGGCGACCTCCTCCCCCGCCGGTTGGACCTGGACGACATATGCTCGATCGATCGTGTGTCAAGTGTAGTGTGTAGCTAGCTAGCTAGCTAGCAGTGCACTACAAAGTAGTCGGACTTGGAGTGTGCATTGGCTTAGCGTATCGTACCTATATATATTATTAGTTAGTGTGATTAATGTGTACATGTGCGTATACTATATATAGGAGTAGGGTTTTATACTCCCTCTCTTAAGCGTTGTTATAGTATTCGTGCTGCTCGAACTTTTTAGCGTTTGACAAGTTTATAAAGAATATTAGTGACGTTTGTATTTCTAATTAAGTTTATTATGAAAATAAATTCAAACGATCTAATGATACTAATTATGTATTATAAATATTAACATTTTTTTATATATATTTGATTAAACTTTAATACACGTTTGACTTCTCGTAGAGTAATAAGAACGACGATTGAAAAGGGACGGAACGCGATTAGTGATGCATTCAATTCATTATTCTACCACCATAGTCCCATAGGTCCATAGCGGCACCATGCATGTGACACGCATGCCGCACTATCGGTTAATAATAGGCAGTGTACGTAGCTAGTCTCATTCACGTGATGCTATTTGCATGATGATGAAACAAAAAACATGTATAAGAGGGCAAGAGGCAGGCTCGGAGACCGATTAGGACACTGCTTGTGTGTGTTGTTGGGGGAAACAAGTCTACCGCCCTTTGTTGAAGCGTACGTGTAGCATTAGTACTGGCAGAGCGAGCTGAAGGAGATGGGGGGGGCTAGATGCTGGCACAGCCACTGTTTATTTGATTTGTGTACTGTGGTCGTCAGTGTGGCCGGTGTGATGTCGATGTCGTCCAATACAGTCCATATAATGCATGCATCCGCAGGCCATGCATATTTATACATGTATAGTTATGATCTCAAGGTACACTAACACATGATCAATTCTGTTCCAATTCATATCCTCGTTTTAGGCGTGTTAGATATATATATATATATATATATAATCTACTACACAGTGGCTTTATTAAGCGGCAATTGGACTGACCGCTTACTGCATTTATTTTGGTTTGAAAGATAGAACAGCGCCTTCGAGTGAGAGCCCCGCTCAGCTCTCGACTATCAATTCCAGCAATGATGACAACTATGGCACCATGTTTCTTGTTGGAGATATTATTGTGGTAAGGTACGTTCTCGCCTCTTGGATTTCACTCTAATATGTGCACGTGTTGATTATTCACCGATTCAATAATTTAGAGAAAATACAAGCGTGCACCTTAGTTCAATTTTCTGCATCTATATGTCATTAGTCTTTAGAAAATTAGCTGGACTTTTCAAGTTTAATATTTGTGTTCAAATCTTCAAAAAAAATTATAGTTTTATATAGCTCACTGCCGAAAACGTGTGCACGTGGATGTATGCATATACATGCACTAGGGTGCTAGGTGCATGCATGCATAAGCATGATTGGACGCGCGCGTGCCTGCATGTGCCAACGCAGTTTTCGTCATCCACTACAGTGGAAAACAGCTATCAATACGCACGAAAATTACTTAGTTTTTTGAACAAACAAAAATTTTCTTCTCCTTTAATAAAGGCTTTTGTAAACCGATGTGATCTTGTAATCCATTGTGGGTTTAAAAAACAATAACAACTTATTTATCGAAAATATGCATGCAATGTTCCAATAAGGAGTGTATCAGCCTTACAAAAAAACGGGGGAGTGTATCAGTCGACTTATTATAGGGTTATTATGTTTTCCCAAACCATATATATATATATATATATATATATATATATATATACACACACACAGTATGCTTTAGACAACTAGCATAGCATATATAGTTATCAAAAGCATATATGTTAAACGGCCACACACGCAGCAGCTTTTCCTTGAAACCGTGGGCAGCTGGGCACGAGCAACTCAAGGTCCTCCCCCATGGTTTCATGCAAGAGACATGCATGGTCGTCGCTGCCTGACATGGAGCGACATGTTGCCTGAAGTCGGGCTTGGTTTTCAGCTGTGTTAGCACCACTACACACTCACATAAAAGCAAGACGACAAGGTACTATCAATGTTGTAGCTAGCCTGTAGGTAAGTGATCGAGGAGGCAAGCACAGCACAGATGAGATGATATATATAAAATCATCAAATTGCAGTTCCACCGCAGTTTCAGTCTTTCAGACAATCTTCAGTGCATCACCAATAGTCACTAAAGCTATTCATGCACCAGTAATTATTTTTTCCCCCTGAGTTGTTACATATAAGTGTATGTGCCAGTAATTAACATACATCCATTGTTTAGCAGAACCAAGCTATATAAAAAAAGGGAGAAACAAATTGAAGATTTATTGTAACCGGTATGTAACAATTCATCTGCTCATGTGTAACAAACAAGATCCACATGAAACCTAGGGCCCATCTACTTCAGTATTACAGTGATAGCATCGACTCATGTAACACTATGCTAGTACAAAAGCACGTAGCAAACACATTCAAGGGTTCCTTTTCACACTGTACATACTCCGGTCGCCGCAGCAATCCAGCCCCAGATGGAACCTGTAGCTTAGTGCTGCTCCTGCATTATGGAGAAAATACAGTTTATATGGGCAAGTCATCTGTGTCAAAAATCTCAAAGATTGATGTTTCTAAAGCTTGAGTCAATCAGTAATTGTTTCAGTTTTGATTCATAAGAAACGATTTTTTGTCTCACATGGAACCACTTGAGCTCCTGACCTACTGCAATTTAGAGGATCATATCCTGGAAGAGGAACAGACTGCACATGCTGACTTTCTGGGAGTAAAGTATTTGAAATGAATTACATTAACTACACTGATGAAATCTTCCAAGATTTGAAGAACATGCCACACCTTGATGCAATTCAAGAATATGACAAATGAGTTCCCCTCACTTCAATCAGGGTCAAGTGGCCACTAATGGAAGCAGCCGTCAATCACTAACAAGATATTTCATGAGGTTTTGGTCAAATTTAATTGTTGCCCAGACAGTAAAATTAACTACCCTAGTACCCTGTGGTCACATTTCCTGTCATGTATGGCAGAATGTGGGATAGGAAGCACAGGGAGACCGTCCAGGCTTTAAGGATGCAACACATGCATTTTTTTTTTTACAACACATGCATGTGGCTGATTGCTCCAGGAGTTAAGAGTCATAGGTGCTTTTGTTTAGGAGATAAGTTAGTCGCTTTGTCAGCTAGAGATATTAATATATTGCACTAGAATTCAGTTGAGTATGTATTGAGGAAGGATTTGTAACTTGGCCTTACATATTAGGTCACATGTATTTGGGAAACCCCAAGCAATAGATTGAATGTAGTTTCCCAATTCCCTGCTGTGCTCTCCTACCTAGCCTCTGCGCCGGCGCCCAAGCCTTGACCCTATGGCCCAGTTCCTTGCCCTCCCACCTCTCACGATCACACATTGAGCAATCATCCAGCAACCAACCATCCACCGCCATCTCATTTCCCAACTCATAGTTTGGGCCACTTAACTAGGTGGCAGCACCTAGCACGCCTAGTCTCATTAAAAAATGATCAAGCACTAGATATGCACAAGGATCAAATTACCAGTTCACTTGTAACCATGGCATTATATGCATGCCTTTATCTATGTGGACTGTACAAGTCAACTAAAACAGAAGGGGATTTTCGAATTTGGTAATTCCATGGAAGATTGTTCGTTGTGTTATACTAGCAATAATGTAGGGTCAGTTCACTAATCCATTTAAGCATTTTAGTATCGTGTGCACATAATTTTTAACCTTGCTTTTGTAATGCATATAGCAAGTTGCTGTCCTGAAAAATCTATACAAATATTGAAGGCAACAAGCAAGTAATTCACCTTACTCCAGCATTAAGCAAAGCATTTTCTTCTCTGCGAAAATAAAAATAAACCAAATGACATCAGTTGCCCAGTTGGAATATTTTTCTGAACAGGCATGCATATGGACAAATTGTCTTCAACATTTGTAAGTAAGATTCTCACCCATCGCTCAACTTCTGATGCTGATTCAGAAAGTCTCCTCCGAAGAATAGATTTTTCTGCTTCACAGCTCTCTACATCAATATCTGCACAGATAAAAAACACTGAGCACTGTTGCTGCTTCAAACCCTATGGAATATATAATGCTGTGCTTAGTATATTTGCATTACAAAGGTCTTTCAAAACACCATGAAAAAAGAGGACAGGTTCAGTTTTTACCATAATAGTAAGTTGATAGAATGTCGATACGCTCGATTGGCTGACAAAGGGAAAAAGAAAACATTAGAACTTCATTTGTCCAGCACACCCTAAAATACGATCAATAGATTGCAGATTAAGTCAAATATTTTCAATTATGCATTGTCAGTGACATCGACAAGCAATCTGTATCAAAACAGAAAGGAAAACTTATTCAAATGAACACTTAAATGTAATAAAAAAAACAAAAGTCATCATTTTAACAGGCTTTCCCCAGATATTTGCAGATATCCAAACAATCATACCAATAACCAAAGAGCACAGAAGAAAATTCACTAAAAGAGCTAAACGAAGATACAGGTTTTGTGCATAAAAGAACTGTCTTGCAGGTGGATACATACCATTACAAAAATGCCTTCTCTCCGGGTTGGAAGCCTCTCTAGTTTACTCAATGTATCGTCACCTTTAGTGACCCTCCCGAATACAGCATACTGAAATTTGTTATGTGCCAATCTCGATCAGTGACATAGATGATATTGATAATAAAAGGCTTTGATGTAGTGTTAAACACCTGGCCATCAAGGTGCGGTGAATCGCCCAGAAGGATAGAAAAGGAAGAGCCAGCACTGTCTGGATCAGAATGCCTTGTGGAAGGAATGAAATATTTACATGTTATGAGATAACTATTAGCTTACATGCAAAGGAAACTAATAGAAAATGTTTTCCAGAGCTTTGTTATTTCAACATACATTGCATTCCTCTGGATATGTACATAACTACAAATAGAAGTATGGAAAACCACAAGTAGTGATCTTAATCTTTTTTTCCAAATAAATAAACAACTTAATAACCATTGTTGAAGTTTTCAAGTGCGTAGAAAAATACTACATGCTCATCTATTTTAGGCCAGAACCAGAAGGCTTAAAGGTGATATGATAGAAGACAGTGGTCTGCCAAAGTTTTAAACAGAAAGCACCTTCCCATGGAGAGGATTCCCCTGACATGCTTGACACTACTAAATTCACCAACAATTGTTTTCTCTGCTTCCTTTTTCTGCTCCGCATTCATAGGGGCAGTTCGACCTGACATAACATCAGCAACTTGTGCAACGAAACCCTTGTCAACCTAGAAAAGAAAGCAATACATTGCGTTGTTAATTGATAAAGTAGCTCATAGAATACTAGAGATTTGTGTTTACAGGTAGCAAATAAGCAAAGTGACTAAAACTGATGAATACCCGGAAGAAGTGATTTGTGTTGTAGCATCCAAGCCGCACAAGTTTGAAAATGTGTTCGACAGTCTTAGGTGCAACACGAGGAAAGAAGCCAAACTCGATATCACCATAATTCGTCTGCAGGTAGAATTACAACAGAAGTAATCAGATCTACTGATCAGAACAGGAAGAAATACTGCAGAAAGGTAAAAATGGTAATTAGTAGCGCTGTAAATTCTGAGTCCCCCAAATGGCCAACCTAGGAATGACTGAATCAGTTGTGGGCTGCTAATAAGCATTTATGAAGTCATACAAATCATGTAAAAGCTACAGTTTTATTACTAATATCATTAAATATCCAACTGATGTAATTTTGGGGATGGAGTAATGCAAATTGCAAGGTGATAACCAAAGTACCAGAACCGATAAGTAAAACAGCCTGGCAGCTTGAGTGAATTGTGTGGAGAACAGAAGACACCATCTACCTAATGGGAGATTAGGAGTAGGAGGAAATCATATGTCTGAAGAGAAGAATATGCAACATGGTATCAGTCTTCTTGGAAGAATCTTGAGACCACCATGCAATGAAATTACAGCCAGGTTTGCCAGTTGAGCACTCTTATCCGCTAGTTGTGCAGAAAAAATTGCAAAAAATGACACTCGAAAGATTGACTCCTTGATTACGATGACACTCGGCTGGATGACAAGTGGGTCCATCTGTGTTTATGAATGTGGGTCCAGTGTCAAATCTGCAAACGACCTCGAGTCCAGCAGTTCTTAAATGCAACTCAGCAGCCATCTCCTTCCACATTGCTATGGCTTTGAATCGACTCTCGAACGAAATCTCGCAAAAGCAAGCCCGGCCAGCGTAACCGACTCACACTGATTCTCTCCAGATCCTCCTCCCACAGCTCTCAAATCACACTAATCCTCTCCCAGATCCTCCCACAGCTCTCAAATCCCTCGCCAAACCTAGCGAATTCGATGCCCTTGGGGCCGTTTCCTACCGCCAAAGGCTACTAAACATCGCTCCTTTCGAGCGAATTTCAGAGCAACAGACAATCGGGGTTGGGCGAATCTAGCAGTCGAGGGTTGGAATAGCAAGGGCAGTAGAGGAGATGGCGCGTGACCTGGAAGACGACGCGCGCGGATCCGAGGTTGGGGTCGGAGGAGTAGAACGTGGAGGCGCCGTCCGCGCAGACGGCCGCGACGACGAGGACCGCCGCTGCGGCGGCCGCGGCGCGGCGGAGTAGCACCGCCATTTCTTCTTCTTCTTCTTTTTCCTTCCCCTTCTGCCCCCGCTGGTTTTGACGTTTTGTTGTGCAGCGGTGTTTGCAAAGACGAAAACACACGTTTGGCAAAAAAAACCAAGTTCAGGTCCATTTTGTGATCTGGAAACCATATGACAATTTTTGAAAAAAAAAACTCGAAGCTATGTATTTAGATATACTATATCTAGTCTAGAACTCTAAAAACATAGTAAAAAAACAATGTTCTTGAAAAATCAAAATATTTTTCAATTTAGAACAGAAGGAGCCACACAATGTTTTTAACATAAAACAATCACTTGTTTGTTTTGACGCTTAATGCTCATTGTAATGTAGCTTATCCATCTATGTTGGTAAAGCATTATCAACCTTACTCAGCCTGTTTGGCAGGCCGTAAACGGTCGTGGATTATTTACTGCTGGCTGGTTTGGTGTGAGAGAAAAATATTGTTACAGCTTATAATTCATGATCATATACGAACAAGCGAACAGGCTGACTATCGTTAGTCCAAATTTGGAAGCATTCATAAGGGGTGAGTTTTCTTTGTAGAGAGGAGAGTCTTAGATAGATCTTTGAGATATCATGTCACATTTTCAAAATCACAATCTATTCTTATACATAGAGGTGTAGTGAAGGAGTACTCTTTAATCTCATCAATGTTATTCTCGAGTCACAGTAGTACAGAAACGGTTTTTGCTGATCCTTGCTATTCTTGAATTACACTAGTATAGAAATGATTCATAATCACTATATGCCACCTATTATCCATGTCTTATGTAATATAAACCCGTACTTTATTTCCTACTTTCCTTTAATCATTTGTTGTTCTAGGGACATTCACTCATGATATTAAATTTTGATTGATTTGATTTAACCTCTACTAGTTTATACTTAGCTATAGTCAGAAAAATATCATGGAAAGAAAAGGCAGCGATTGGATTGATAGAAAGGAACTCCAACAGCCAATTCCAATCCTACCTCACTGTGGAATCAGTTCCGTATATAATTTTTATGATTAATTATAGGCAATGGCCCTAATTGGTTCTGCTTAGGGGAGCTTCCAACTTCCGGCTCGAGAGAGGGGGCACGCGAGGGCACAGTAGAGTAACCTTGTCATGTTTAGTACTAGGAGCCCACGTGGAGGATTTTGCACCCGCAATGAATAATTTAATGGACACATTAAAAATACTCTACACTTCCCAAGTGGATGGACTTGGAATATATATCCTGTGCTCGCGTGCATTACGTGCTCCCTTTAAAAAAACCATTCAACCAGAAATATAAATGGATAGATGATGTATAAGGACCTATGTTCATGCAAAATTTTAGAATGGTTAAAATCTTGTACAAGTAGAAACAAAAAGGAGATAATAATCATGATATAATGATTGGGTCAGGTGCATTGTTTGCCTAGATCCGCAGCCCGCATCAACTACATCTTGATTTTTTATCTTTTTTTGTTACTCTATGTACAAGATTTTTTTTAATCCTCAAAATCTGCGTGAAGATGGATCCTTACATCATCTATCCTTAGGTATTTTTGGAAGAATTTTTCAAGCACTGTTTCATAGGTTTTTCTAGATGGGAAGCACGGGAGCGCCTAAAGGCATCGGGGCCTAGGATATGTTCTCCTGTAACACTTTTTATTGGGATGGGGGTAGCGAATGGGAAAAATGGATTGGGATAGCAGGACGGGGGATGGAATGTGTATGCTATTCTTTATTTTCCTATCCCTATTCATTTTCCATTATCCATACATAGGATCAGATCTATCACACCCCCTTACTTCCCTATATATCCCACTCTACATTTCTCAATATCTAAACGGCGCCTAGATGGATGTATAAAAGAAACACCTCGAAAGTTCAAGAGCCGCCAGTGCAATTCTACTCTACTAAAAACATAAATTTTAGCATCACAAATTATTATTATTCTTAGTCGACTTCACCATCTTGATGAAACTGATACATCATTTCGACAAGGGGCACACGCCCAAGTTTTAGCCTAACAACAACATTTATCGCCCGTATGGCCAATCTTGGTATAAAGGCAGTGTGGCTTAGGGTTCTTGTACCCTAGAGCATCACAATGTGCCCCACACAATATGTCGTCGCATGGAGAAAAATCGGTGCACCTACTACCTGCAAATATGATGTATTGCATTTCATCAGAGTGGGAACTTTTATATAGCTAAGTTGATGTAAAACATTATGTGTAAAATAGAATACACATGCATATATGTGTGGTTGTATATAAATTATTACTACCTCTTGCTTCACAAGACGAGAATACCATAGCCATGACAATAAGGGTTGCAAAGCACAGAGCCTTGGCATCCTTGTTGAGAAGTGCCATCAGGGAGAACTGATTCTTTGATTTTCTTGTGTTACTCTTATTATGTTTCAATTGTGTGTGGCATCGCCTCCTTGTCCATTCTTTATATAGGGGGTGGGGCGGTAGCAAATTTAGCATCCTATTAATGCATTAAATTATGCTCCTCTAATGTGTTTAGTGCTTATTTATTTGCGGCTTGTTTTGATTGCTATATTTTTCTAAGGTGGGGGAGGGGGGGGATTGGATTCAGACTACGGTGTAATTGATTAGGTTGACCCGATGGTTTGTTACGATACAAGGAAAAATGGATTGCCGCTGTATTTATTACGATAGCGAAAAATGGAAAATTTCAATTCGTGTTGGGCTCACACTAGGCCTGATTTATTTTGGGCTTGTTTTTCTTGCCCGTTCCCACCCAACAACTACTTGAGCGGACCTGCCTTTTTGAGCTTTTTTTGGGCTAGAGTAGACTGTGGGCCAACCAGGCCGAATAAAGCTCTCTTGCCTCGTATGACTCTGTTTATGGAGATACATACAAATGATAGACCTTTCTATATATAGCAGCATAACTGCATTACTATTAAAAAATACTAATCACTTGTATTGTATGATGAGGTGCAGGTAGGATTATGGTCTACTACTAGAGTTGAGCCAAATGGACCACCCTTTAAATAGGCAAGGCATATATATAAAAAGTCAGGCTATTATGCTGATGTGTGTGGTGGATTAGTTTGGAAGTAAAGAAAGAAAGGCTATCATGGGTAAGAACTAGGAGTAGTATATATATTTATATAAATGAATAAAAAAGGGGGAAAGTTTCAATAATTCTTTCTCAGAAGAAGGAGTGTCGTTATGCATGCATAGGCTGCAGTGTAGCAAACCTAGCTAATGGATAAATTCTCTTTCTCTGTCTCAAAGCATCCCTCTACAATGATGCAAGTGGAAAAGGCAGTGACCAACTGTTTTTGGGAATATTTCGGTGACCGGAGCGAGTAGGAATTTGGCCACTTTTCCGCGCATGACGGCACGAGGCACTTGTACCCTTGCGGTGGGCCCGCCCCCGGCCACGGCCGGGTTTCACACCAGGGCGGCAACCGGCAAGGCATGCTTGATGCGTCCTAGCTGCTGCTGCTGCTGCTGCTGCTTTCACACACCCCCAGCACTCCATTGAAAACCATGAGCTAGCGTTTTGGCATCGATCGCCTTTGAGGTGTTCTTGGTTTCTAAGCAATCAACCACCTTTGCTGCCTCGATCTTTTTCTTTACGTACGTGCCTTGCCAAACTACAAGTCCATCTGCTTGCTCTCTCCTGTGTCTGTGTGTGTGGTGCATGGAAAAGGCAGATATGATGGAGGTTAGCTAGCTAGCTAGGGTGCCTGCTTGGACACTTGACTTGTCATATATACCAAGCTAGCTAATACCAAAGCATGGGTTCAAAAGACTTTTCTCGAAGGGCAGAAAAGAGATCACCTTGTGTTACTTGTCAGTGTGTGGGAACAAGCAATCTAGCTTTTTTTAAAAAAAATGGAAACGTGTCCGTGCATATCATGTGCACTTGCATGGAAGCTAGGATCGGAGTTGGTGGTTGCCCACCAAGGCCATCATCATCATCAGTGCATTAACCATGCATGGTAATCGGTAAATACTCTATTATCCCAACACAGTTAACCATGCATGCATGCGCGTGCACGCGGGGGACGGAAATAAATGGTGCATGTGACAGGATGCATCATCATTTAATAACTAGTCAAAAGTGGACGGATTAGTGCACTTACGCCCCAATCCACTCACGAGCGCGCACGACTCTTCTCCGGCCAAAGGCCACCTACGCCAACGAGAAACTAACCAACAACCTAATCAGCTCTGCCCACAAGTTAAACACGTCTCGTCCCTCACATCTGACCTGTCGTCCCGTTGACACGTGTCTTGTTACGACGCCATCGTTCCCAACAAACAATCTTATGCATGTGTCACGTTTGTTGTCCTCTCCCCCAATGCGATGAACACTACTTCTACATGTATTTGTTACTGGGATATTGGGATTATTGTTCGTGGGTGGGCTCACTGCTACAAAAATAATTTTAGAAGATGTGTGTTTTTATTAAAAGAAATAGTCAAAAAGTGTTGACGTCTCAAAAAAAAACTAGTGAATTTTAGAAGCGACTAGCCCATTTAAGGAGACAACCCAAAAAACAGCACCTTCAGTAAATTGATTTACAGAGGCGAGTTTCTTAAGATAACCACCTCCCTAAATATGACCTATTTATAGAAGTGGCCCTCTTAAGAGGCATGACTCTGTTAGAAAATCTGTCACACCCAATTTTAAGGATAAAATTGAATGCACTAAACTCATGTGTGCCTAGGGATCAGTCCACACACATAGTTGACAAATTAAAAAAAGTATCATCACGGTGTATCTTACATAACGAATAATAGCATCACATTGACTTACATAACACAAATGGAAGATAAAAGATAACTCTCTCGTGGAACTCCATCACGGGGACGGTCATTTGGTTGACCACAAGCCTAATAATCCTCGTGAAACTCCTTATATCCGTTGTCATCTGTTACCCATCCGGGATTTTTATCCAAATATTGAAAATTAAACAAGCGTAAATCGTCCCGTACTCAACAAGATAACATGGGGTTCATGAGGC